AAATGCTTTAAATTTAAAATGGTTAGGGTTGTTTTTTTTTCAAACACTTATAATTTGTTTTATTAGCATTTAATCCAAGCAAAATCCTTAAGGCATAAATAGAATTATTAATAATAAGAGCCTAGTTATATCACACTTTAGTTTGCAAAGCAAGACCCCCTGGGAAGTTCACTCCCTACAGGTATTTTTTGAGTGGCTTTAAGCTGATCCTTGCTCAGGAAGTAGAGTGCCAAAAGAATCTCTCTGAGGTCTTAAGTAGACCAAAAAAGATTGAAAATATCACCTTTTTTTGACCATTAGAAGCACAATGTGGATACTGGAAAATAAACCTTCATTTGCAAGTTTGGGGTTAAGCAGGGTTGGGGTTCCTTTGATCCCACCCACTTCAGAGAACTGGTCTGAAGTGATTTCCCCAAGTCACACTTCAGTTCCCTAAAAAGATTTAGTGCAGGTAAAACTTTTTTTATTTTGGCCCAACTTGGTGCTATTGAAAGAACAGGACAGAGAATTCCCATACCCTGGGTCACTTAACTATTCCTATCCTAAAACTAGCTATGGAGTGGGGACTTGGGATTCTCTCCCATTCGAAGGCTCTTTTCCCTCTGGCTTTCTTTCATCATATCTCAAGCAGTTGCTATAAATTTCTGATTAGATTAGTTAATCTAGTTAGATTACTCACTCCATTAGATTAGATTGTGAGCTCTTCTGAGGGCAGGGACTACTCAGGTGGAAAGTCAGAGAGATCTGAAAGAAGGAGTTGGAAGAGACTATCTAATTTAAAGCCTTCATTTTACAGTTGGCCCAGGGAGGGAGAGACTGGTCCAAGGTCATACATCTAATGAGCAGAAGAGCTAGAATCTGAAGATCAGGACACCAATTCTCAAGCCAGTTCTTTTCACTAGCCCACAATGCCTCCAGCACAAAGCTGGAACCAGGGCCCCCCTTCTCTCAAATCTCTCTGACTTTCCACCTGAGTAGCATCTTCTCCATTTCAACGTTGGTAATCAGCCTGGCAGGTAACAAGCATTTACTAAGCTCCTACTGTGTGCAAAGCCTGGGGAAACAAAGAAAGATAAAAAACAGTCCTTGCCCTCAGAGGAGCTCACAATCTAATCTAATGGAGTGAGTAATGCAGTGATAGGGATTTTAGGAATTAGTGGACCATTGATTGTTTCAGATTTGGGGTTTGGTTTTTGGTTTTATTTTGTTTTTCTTAGCAGTACAATTTATCATCACTAGATGTCAGTGTGGCCTTTCTCAATCGCTACCTATCTCCTGCTGGAAATGCCACAAGGCTGCATCTCTGTAAGTCAGGAAATCCAACCCTCTCATTTTAAGAGGGAAGAAACTGAGGCCCAGAAAGGAATAGGGTCTTGGCCACAATTACAAAGGGAGCAAAATAAGGAGACGATCTTGAATCTGGGTCTTCTGACTCCAAATACACCCAATTCTACCATGCTGCCCATCTTGGGTCTCTTTCCTTAAAACTCGGTGGGGGGGGGGTACTATTTTCCATACTGTTCCCTCCTCATCTGACCTGTATCCTTGCTCCATTTTTTTTTTCTTTAAACCAGAAATAAGCATTATGGCTCTCAATGCCTTATCCTCCTGGAACATTCAAGGTCAACTATATATCTCTAAAAGAAAGATGGCAGCAAAGCCATCACGCAGATAATGAAAGGACATTCATGATGCTGTTCACTGCCTTTTAAAAGCATGAGGAAACCATGGCAACACATAGCAGCAGAGTACCAACGGGGGCACAAGATGCCAAGAGAGAGCTATGGGGTGTGTGCATGGCACAGGAGTTTAGCTCCTCTGGTAGCTAATCCCATCAGTGGCAGCTCCTAAGTGGGCAGCTTCTAAAACATTCTCTTAAAATGCTCATTATGTTAAAAGAACTTATGGAACAACATTTGGAGGAAATGAGAGGCAGTGGGGCGTAGTGCATAGAGAAATGGACCTGGGTTCCGATTCTGTCTTTAACACTAGCTTCGGGGCCCTGATAACTCATGTCACTGCTAAAACCATGAACTCAATTACTCTCTCTGCAATAATTCTCAAATCTATTTATCCTCCCTCCTAACCTCCCTCATTTTCCCAACTGCTTATTGGAAATCTCAAGTTGGATGTCTCATAAGCATCTTAAACTTACTGAAAACGTCCCAAACCGAACTCATTATCTTTTCCCCAAACTCTTCCCTCCCTAACGTCCCTATTGCTGTAAAGACCACCTTCATCCTCCTCACAGTCACACAGGCTCACAACATAGGGTCGTCCTCCTATCTTCTCTGTTTCTCTGTCTCTCTCTCCCCCTTGTCTCTCCTGACACTGCCACCACCCTGGTGCAGGTCCTCACCACATCTTGTATGGACTATTTCAATGACCTGCTGGTGGGTTTCCTTGCCCAAAGTCTCTCCCTACTCCAATCTGTCCTCCACTCTGCTGCCAGAGAGAGCTTTCTAAAGCACACGTCTGACCATGCCACCCCCACTACCTCCAATAAACTCCAGTGACTCCAGTCATAAAATAAATCAATAAAATAAGTAAATCAATAAAATCCAGTTAGCTCCAGGATCAGATATAAAATCCTCTGTGTGGCATAAAAGGCCCTTTATAACCTGCCCACCTCCTACCTTTCTAGTCTTCTTACACCTGATTCAGTTAGTAAGCACCCACTATGTGCCAGGGACTACATCAAGAATAGTAAAAAGATAAAATTCTGACCTGGTGACACTGGCTTTCTGGCTGCTCCTCACACAGGAGCCTCCACTCCCCCAATTCCAGGCATTTTCACTGGCTGTCCCCCATACCTGGTCCTCTCTCCCTCCTCATCACCCCCTCCTGGCTTCCCTGGCTTCCTTCAGGTCCCAGCTGAAACCCCACCCTGTAAAGGAAGCTTTTCCTGATCCCTCCTAATGCTAGTTCCTCCCCTCGATGACTGTCCAGTTTGTCCTGTTTATAACTTGTTTGCACACAACTTGTTTGCATGCTGTCTCCCCCAACGGACTGTGAGCTCCTTGAGGGCAGGGGCTGTCTTCTCCCTTTCTTTGTATCTCCCTTTGTATTCCCTTTCTCCTGGACTGTGGTAGCAGACTTCTAATCAATATCCTTGCTTCAAGCCTCTCCTAGACCAGATCTATCCATGCAACTGCCAATGTGATTTTCCTAAAGTAAAGTGCATGTCTGGTCATGCAACTGCCCTGATATCTCATCTGTTACCTCCCTGTTGTCTTTAGGATTGAATAGAAAGTGCTGTTTGGCTTTTAAAGCCCTGAACTACTTGGTTCCAACCTACCTTTTCAAACTTGTGATACTTTACTCCCTTCCCACACTCCTTCCCCATGACACTCCCATCTCCAAACCTTTGCACTGATCATCTGCCAGGCCCCCAGGTGTACCCTCCTTTCTTACTTATTCCTCTTGGAATCCCTAGTTTCTTTCCTCAGCCCAAGAGTCACCTTCTACATGAAACCTTTGTTGATCTCTCTCTTTACCCCCAAACTACCTTGAATTTCTTTATATAATATTAATATATAAATAGTATAAGTATAATATGTATTATGTTACACATGTGTTAAATAATATACGTATATTAATAATATACACATAATATTCATGTATAAATAATATACATGTAAGCACATACATACATAAGGGTTTCCACATTGTCTCCCCCCAGCAGACACTCCTGGAAGGCAGGGAATATTTTATTCCTGTCTGTAATCCCATCACCTTGCACATAGTAGGTGCTTCATAAATGCTTGTTGACAGATTGCCTAACAAGAGGCCAGGGATTGCTGATGAGCTGCATGACCTTGTGCAAGTCACCACCTCTCTGGACCCAGGTTTCCCATGAACCATCTTAGAATTTAGAGCTAGAAGGGAATCTTGTAGATCATTGAGTTCAGCACCACCACCCCTTTGTCACCGACAAGGAAACTGAGGCCACACAAGTCTGAAGAGGCAGAGCTGGGGTCTGAGCCATTCATCAGCCAGAGGGGCAGGTTGGCCGGGTTAATCTCTGACATTTCCGGTCTAACATTCTGTGATTCTCATAGCAGTTGGGAGGGGAGCTATCTGCCCCACCCAGCCTTAGTGTTTACTAGTTCTCCAGCCTGGATGGGTAGGGAGCAGTTCAGTATTTCTCTGTGCCCATCCCTCATGACTCTGCAGAATATTTGCTGATGGAGGACTGCACTGATTCCCTCCTCTGGCTCCTGTGGCCTGTTAGCTCAGCTGAAGTCTCTCCCCTGGATCTCAGCCTCGTGAAAGTTGTAAATCCAAGCCTAACATACAGTGGTAGGAATGAAAATCACCTGCTCTTGGAAAGTTGACTCTGTTACACTGAAGTGACATCAGTCAACAGGCATTTATTAAGCACTGACTGAGCACCAGAATCACAGCATTTCTGAGGCAGAGGGGACCTCCAATCAAACCCACTGGCAGCTCTCTGAGAAAAGGGATTCTTTCATTCTTTGTCTTTCTACCTCCAGGGCTCAGTCCGGTGCTTAGCATGGAGTGGGTTTGAATAGCTAGTGTTTCTACAGCAGTTTAAGGCTTGAGATGCCTACAGGGCGCCCAGCTAGAAATATATATTTGTAATAATAGCTAGCTCTAAGGTTTGCTGTCTACTGTCCATATAGTCTTTCATTTATCCTTACAAGAACCATTAGAGCACAGCTCCGATGGGCTGGCTGTGTTGTTTCAATGCCAAATGTACACTTGCCAAAAAGACTGTTTTATGGAGAACTCACACGGGGTAAGCGCTCACTTGGTGGTCAGAAGAAGCGATACAAGGACACTCTCAAGGACACTCTCAAGGTCTCTCTGAAGAACTTTGGAATTGATTGTGTGACATGACGACACTGACACAGGACCAAGCAGCATGGCGTGCCCTCATCAGAGAAGGTGCTCAGCTGTAGGGGCGAAGCAGAATTGAAGTAGCTCAAAAGAAATGCAAGAGGCACAGATGTAGAGAATCCACCCCAAAGGTTCACATGGACCGTTTGTGCCCGAGCCACGGTCGGGCCACGGTCCCTGCAGCTCCCTTCGAGCGTTCCGAGCTCGAACTGGTCTGATCGGCCACAGCCGGACACACTGCCTCGACTCTAGCGTAACGATGTCATTTTGGTCGTCTTCAAGAGTGACAGACAACAACCAATCAGCCAATAAGAACCTTGCAAGGTAGGCTATCACCCCTTCTTTACAGATTAGGAAACTGAGGCCCAGAGATCGAAGCACTTGCTCGGATCCCACAGCTAGTAAGTGCCTGTGGTGGGATTTGAATTCAAGTCTTTGTGACTCCAAGTCCAACACCATCTACTATGCTACCTAACTGTCATAATAAATGCTTATTGACTGATTAATTGAACAAGGATCCTTTCTATGTCATTCTCAACAAAATATCCTCTAGCTTTTGCTTGAAGATCTCCAGTGAAGTGGTAACCTTCTACCTCCCTAGGCAACCTCTTCCACTTTTGGAAATGGAAAGTTCAAAAAGGGCACAGGCTCTGGAGTCAGAGGCCCTGGGTTCAAATTCTGATTTTCTTACTTCACCTGTGTGACCTTGGACAAGTCCCTTAAACTCCCTAGTCCTCAGTTTCCTTCTCTGTAAAATGAAGGGATTGGACTGAGTGGCCTCTGGATCCTAATTAACAGCAAGTTTTTGCTGACATCAAACCCAAATTTTCCTCTCCCTGCAGCTTCTACCCCTTCATTGCCCTCTCTGCCTCTGGGACGAGGAGGGCACCCTCTTCTGCAGGAGGGTCCTTCAGATAATGGAAGGCAGCTATCACAGCCCCCGTAAGTCTTCTCATTTATCTAGTCACAGAAAATCCAACTGGACACAGAAGTCGTTGGTGCCCACTGTGGAGAGGAATGAACCCTGGTCCTGAAGGCCCGGCTGGTTCTATCAGGCAGGAAACACTTGTAGGTCTCTTCTTGGAATCTCTGCTTCTCCTCTGAGGACCAGGCATTAAATTCAGAGGGGCTATTCACAGGTGATGAGGAAGCATCGTTTAATGAATAAAGAACTGGACTTGCAGTAATAAGGATAACCTAAGTTCAAATCCGACTTCAGATACTGACTGCCTGTGAGACCTTGGGTGAGTCATGTACTCTCTAAGCTTCAGTGTCCTCATCTGTAAAATGGACATGAGGTGACCTTGAGTATCTACTTCACAGGTTGTTGGAGGATGCTCTCATCACTGGCTCTGGAGTCAGAGGACCTAGCACAAACCCTCCCTCTCACATTCAAAACCTTCTGATGTTAAGCAAGCATCTTTTACTTTCCCTATCTTTAAAATACAGAGTCTCCATCTGCAGTCTGCATCTATGATTTTATGAGCCTATGATCTGGGCTCAAAGTTGTCTTTGTTTACTGCTTGTATGATGTTCGCCAAATCACCAAACTCCCCTGGGCCTCATTTTCCTCAGCAAGAAAACAAGTGAACTAGCTTTTCTCCAAAGATTCTCCACAACCAAGGTTTCTAAATCATCTTTGGGTCCTGGGCCCCTTGGGTAATCAGTTTTGTGAAGCCTATTGACCCCCTTCTCAGAATAATTTTCCCCCCACTTAATAGTATTTTATTTTTTCCAATTACATGTAAAGATAGTTTTCAACATTCATTTTTATACAATTTTGAGTTCCAAATTTTTCAGAATAATTTTAAATGTATAAATTAAAATATATAGGATTACAAAGGAAGACAATTAATACTGTAACACTAATATATACTATCTATATCTATATTCATTTCCAGACCCCCAGGTTAAGAAGCCCTAAGGATGCTAATGGTCAATATATACCAAGTGCTTTCCCAACCTTAATGCTCTATATGAAGTCAGATATTACTAATAAACATCTCCATTATATATCCCCGAGATCCTTTAGCATTCTCATGCACCATATATGACCCAGGTCTACGTTCTGAAGATGAATCTAGTTCAGACCTGGACTTCAACCAAGACAGCTGGGCTGTGGTGGGCTAAGAGCCTGTGGGACAGCTGCTCATATTTCTGTCATTTGCCATCCTTGACTTCCAAGGATTGGGGCTAGGAGGAGCCACATTTACATTCTTAACGTTTCCACAATTGCCACAAAGGTCCCTTTGAGGTTGATATTACGTACCCACTAATATGAAGAAGTTGACCATCTGTGGCACTTTGGTGGCCTGGGGAAAAAAAAAATAATGCTTATCCTGAACTTGGGAGTAACAACCAAAGGCTTTTCATTGGTTATCATTTGTTTGCAAGACTAGCAATTTAAGTAATTGGCAATGGTTAAGGAGAATTGGAACAAATACATCAGACACTGGGGTGCTCTCCTCTCGCCCCTAACTGTTCTATGGTCCGGAGAAATCCTTTCATCATCAGCCCATTGGAAAAGAAGTATGCATTTTTACAAATACTATCTCATTTGCTCTATACAGTAAAACCCTATGAGGCAGGTGCTATTGCTACCTCCATTTTACAGGTGAGCAAACTGAGACAAACCAAGGTTAAGGGACTTGCCAAGCATCGCACAGCCAGTAAGTGTCTGAAGCCAGAATTGAACTTGTTCCTATTTTCAGTAATGGTTCTAACCTGTGATGCACTCACACCAATGAAATCTCTCCAGAAATATGCCATTAAAAGAAGACGGAATGCTTTCCACAGCTCCTTTGGGGACTGATATGCCTGAGAAACTTAATTATTTATGAGAAAAAAATGACGTGGGTGTAAATGGTTTTAGATTTTAGACTAGAGCTAAACCTAAGGTGAGGCAGCTGGGGGGTTGCCAATAGCCACTGGCATTTAGGGCAGTAACACCACTTGTACTGTTTCACTAGAGGGAACAACTGAGCATAGCATCTACTCGCAATGCTCTCGGGTTCTCTGTCTTCCTCCACAGAGGAACAACCTAAAGGACTTCTTTCTCTAATATATACTTGTGTTCCATGGTCCACAGGCTCTAGAGCCTTGAGATCCATTACTCTCCCACCCCCAAACCCCTGAGTTTGTATTAAAAAGCTGATTTGTGGGTATCTTTCCCAATACTGGCCCCTGCTCCAAGAAGTGCTATTTGAAGTTTTATTTGGGGCATATTCCAATGACTTCTGAAGATTTAGAAAATGGGAAGAGCTCGCCAACCAGAGTGGATTTAATTGAGAGAATACAATAACAACATTTTAGCTTTTACTAACCCCAAATCACAGCTGCTGACAAGAAAGAATCAAGTTATTTTTATTAGTAGGTGCTGACATGGTTTCTCTAAACATTTGGGAGTGGGACATTATTCTGAGAAGGATGTGAAATAGGTTGTGGTTCTTGATTTACGGTGATATTTTTGTTTAATGGATCAGGGGAAAAAAAGTCTATTAAAATAACCAGGTTAACATAAGGTGCTTTTGAGGTAAACCTGGGCCTTTTTGGGACAGGGAAGCCTTAGGTCAAAAAGGTCTTAGTTAAGTATCCTATTTGGAAGGACTGAAATAGAAGTGCAAATAGTTTTGCAGTGGACAGGGTACTGGAAGGGGAAGGGCTGTCAGGAAGACCTGAGTTCAAATCTAGCCTCAGACACTTACTAGCTGTGTAAGTCACTTAACTGCTATCTGCCTCAGTTTCCTCAACTACAAAATGGGTATAATAATAGCACCTACTTCACAGGGTTGTTGTGAGGACCAAATGAGATAATATTTGTAAAAATCACTTACAGTGCCTAGTACATAGCAGACATTGAATAAATGATTATTTCCTTCCTTCCCCATTAGAGTGTAAGCTCCTGAAGGTGGGGACTGCCTTTGTTTTTGCTTGCATTTGTATTCCCAAAGCTTAGCACAATGCAGAAATATTTGGACTTGGGGTCCAGAGACACTTAGATTTTAATTCTGGCTCTGACCCTGGCTAGTCATGTGACCTTAATAATAACAAGTGAAATATAAGAGATTGCACCCTGGGAAGGGGATGGGAAAGATACAGTGGGAAACTCGGTGATTTCGAAACAAAAGATATTGATTAGAAATCTGCTAAAAATAACAAGGGATGTTGCTACTACGGGATGAATCAGCTGGGGCACGAGGATGACCCCTTGGCAAGTCACTTAGCCTCTCAAGACACTCTCTAAAACTTAGTTGAAAAGCAGGCATGATCTGCATTAGTGAAGAGTGTTTCCTCAGTGGGAGCTCCCTATGCTGAAGAAATCTTGGATCCAACCCATAGAATATATTCAAGTTTGCTGCAAAGCACTTTCCACTAGACTGTATAACTAATTTCAGACTCACAACAACCGTGTAGGTAGGTTCTCCATACATTACAGATGAGATGACTGAAGCTTGGAGTTTTGTCTGTATCTCACAGCTAGTATAAAAGGCAGGATTTGAACACAAGTCATTCATGCACAGTGAATTGGTGAGCTTGAAGTCAGGGAGAATTGGAGGCCAGCATTTAACATCAGACACTAGCTGTGTGACCATGGTGACATTCTTCTCTATACCTCACTTTTCTCATCTGCTAAATGGAGATAATAGTACCCACACTCATCTGTCTCACTGGGTTGTTGTGAGCAAGGCCCTTTTTAGACTTTTTAAATCATGAGAGAAGAGTGAGTTATTTTTACTGTGAAGCCTGTTTGTAAAAAGGAGGGCAGCAGGAGGGGATTTTCGTCACAGTGTTTAAGCTATAACCCTGTGGCATTCTTTGCTATGATTGGGCTCTTCATTCCAGCAAACGTGTGCATCCCATAGCAATTTAGCCCAAATTTAGCCCTGCTGGCCATAGGCAGAATTGTTAATGGAATCCATGAGAGTAAGTAGAATCTGGCACGTGGTCACTGGAAAAGGTGACCATTGGATGAAGGGCCCCTTAGGAAGTATACCTCTACTTCAAACAAGGAGTCAGGGGTGTAAGGCATGTCTGAACTCAGAAATTTATATCCTCTCATATTAGGCACCTAGGTAGCACAATGGATAGAGAGTTAGGCCTGGTGTTAGGAAGACCTGAGTTCAAATCCAGCCTCAGATACTTACTGCTGTGTGACCCTGAGCAAGTAACTTAACTGTTGTCTGCCTCAGTTTCCTAAACTGTAAAATGGGGA